CTCATCTATTATTGGGAGTGGACTACATCCACCCTGATTGAATTGGCCCCGTCAACACTGATTCTCCACTTGTGAGGTAACTCCCTTCTCTTCATGTGTCAGTATATAATGCCTGCATCTGTAATTTTCACTCCATGCATCTGAAGAAGTGGGTTTTTTACCCACGAAAGCTTACGCCCAAATAAATCGTTAGTCTTTAAGGGGCCACCGGACTCCTTGCTCCATTGTAATGTTCAGCATGCAGTGTCAGGGAAGGGGCACTAGAGGGAGTAGGAGGCAAGAAATACACAGGGCTGGTAATTCAGGGCTGCGGCTCCATAGATTTGCTGTAATAAGGATGCTGATGTGCAGATATTCTTTGTTTCCAGTCTTGTTGAGGGCTGGGATGGATTTTCCCTCTCGGAGCAGCAAGCTCCTTGAAGAGGAGATGCTGCTCAGTGTATTTAGATTGGGAACAGATGTTTCTATTAGTGATCACCACTGAATAGCATCAATTTTGAGGATTCGATTATTTGGGGAGGAGGAATGGGACACGGGGCCTTTCCCCTCTAGGGGCAGCGCTTCCGATCCAGCCCCAGGGAGGGGAATGGCTGGCTCATGGGTCGGGAATGGGATATGGATCCTTTCCTCTCTAGGGGGCGCTGGCTCTGATCCAGCCTCAGGGTGGGGGGACTGGCTGGCTCTGGGGAATAGGGAGTGGGATTCAGATCTCATCAGAGTGGTCTAGGACTGAACAGGCCCGGGGACTGAGCACCTCTTCCCTACAGGCTGGAGCATGCAGAGGGGTGTGGGTGTGTGTTGGGGGAGGGTTTCTGGCTCTGGGGCACACAGAGGGGTGGGGATGGGGGATTTCCAGCTGTGGAGCACACAGGAGCGGGGGAGGGTTTCTGGCTTTGGGGCACATGTGGGGGTTGGCTCTTGGGCACACAGAAGGGCCAGCGGGGGGATAGGAGGTTCCGGCTCTGGAGCACACAAAGGTGCTGGCAGGGAGAGGGGGTTCTGGCTCTGGGGCACACAGAGGGGCCGGTGGGGGTAGAGGGTTCCGGCTCTGGGGCACACGGGGGGGTTGGGGGGGTCCGGCTCTGGGGCACGTGGGGGGTGTTTGGGGGTTCCGGCTCTGGGGCACACAGAGGGGTCGGCCAGGCTGTGGGGTTCTGGTGCTGGGGCCAATGACCCAGGCTTCCTTCTCTTTTTCCAGCTCTGGTTCCTGAGGCCTCTCTCCCGAAAAGCCCCAGCAAAAGAACGTACGAAGAGCCATGAAAATGGAGACTTGCTCCTTCCTGCACCTGTGACCCCTCCATGGCCTGGGGCGCCTCAATACCCCATCCAGCCCCTGGGAGGGGCCCTACCTAGCCCAGGCCCCCCAGCCCTGCGGGGGTGGGTGGGAAGGGGCGATTTCCTAGCTGCTGAGGAGGAGGTGAGAGGGGACGAGAGGTACGGCAGATCCCCACCACCACCACGCCGCCGTCCTGGGCTCTTTTCACATTGTGCTACTGTCTGAGCCCCTGCCAAGCAGTGCAATGTCAAAAGGGCATCGGGCAGGCGGTGCCAGCAGCGCCTGGCCCAGCGCCTCCACCACTCTGCCTCTGGGGGTCTGGGAGAAGGAGGGCAGAGCGAGGATCTGCAGGGGGACACAGACCACCCTTCCCAGAGTGGGGCAGAGGAGGGGATGAAGGGGGTGCTGTGCTCATGGCAGGGGGCTTTGATGCTGAGGAGGGGTGCTGTGCTTGGGGCAGGGGTGTCAGGAACTCAGCTGCCTAGCAACCTAATGAGCTCGTTTGGTTCAATAACCCTAAGTGACTGTGCTCCCTGATTGAACCGAAGGGCCATCAGGTCACCAATTAACCCCTGTAGCAACAGCAGCACAGTGGCTGCTCAATGCAGTCCATGCTCCCAGCTGCGCCAGACCCACTTCCTGCTGGCCCTTGCCCCACTCTTTGCAAGCTCCACGACAGCTCTTCCCTTTGGACTCCTGCCCCCTGCCTCTGACTAATGGCTTGTCCCCTGGCCACGACTCCAGTTCTGCCCTCTGATTCTGCTCCAACCACTAGGCCAGACTCCTGCTCCGACCCCTTGGTCTCACCACCTACACCTTGGCGTGTGACAGTTTGAGCAGCCTGCTAGAAGGTAGCAGGGGTTTTGCTGCACAGCATGGCGCTTCCGTCCAGAATGGCCCCAGCAGGAGTTCACCCCACCTTTGCAGACATTGTTGGAGTCCTGACCAGAATGTGGCCCTCCGGGCCCAGGTACAAGCCCAGGCAGCGTCTTCTGTCCCCACAACTCTTGCATCCATTTTCCGTGAGCCCGAGTTGCCTCTACCCAGTAAGTTGGATGGGGATTGTGACAAATGTCATGGGTTCCTTAGCCAATGTCGTCTCCAGTTCATGTTGTGGCCAGTTGGACCTCACAGCTCAGTTCCAAGTGGGATTAGTTCTCAGTCTGTTCCGAGGAGAGGCCCTGATGTGGGTGTCCCCTTTCCTGGAAGGGAACAGTCCTCTCCTTGAACACTGCGAGAGCCTTGTACGGGCAGGGGTGGGCGTCTCCGTGGACCCTAATGGAGAATGTACAGCAGAAGCTGCTCTCCACGACCTCTGGCAGGGGGTCTGGTCCGTTGCAGCAGAATTCCAGTGTCTGGCCACAGACACTCATTGGAATGAGGCTGTGCCGTGACACCACTTTAGGCAGGCACTCAACAATTCTGCCAAAGATGAATTAGCACAGGTGGAACCTCCGCCTAGTCTAGCAGCTTAAATTGATCTTTGCATCCAGATTGATGGTCGACCAATGGAGCAAGCTCAAGAAAAGCAACATGCCACCTGACCCCCACTGACCAGAACGCTTCCGTCTCCTGCAGTCCCAGTTGTCCTACCAGATCCTGAACCGATGCAAGTTGACCAAATCCTGACCCACCTTTCGTCAGGCATTGGGGTTCTGCTTGTATGGGGGGGGTGATGGGTTGGAGCCCTTGGAAAGCCACCTGATGTTCTGAGATATCACTAAGTCAGAGGGGGGCAAACTATGGCCCGCGGGCCACATCCGGCCCGCAGGACCCTTCCCTCTGCGCCCCTGAGCTCCTGCCAGGGAGCGGAGTCAGGACAGGCTTGCGGAGGAGCCAACCCAACTTCCCGGCAGCGCGGTGAGCGGGGTAGAGTCTAGCCCTTTGCCCCTCCCCTTCTGCTCTCCTCCCTCACAGTCACAGTTCCCCCAGCGCCTGGGCAGCGTGGCTGCAGCTCCGGCCGGGCGGCACGGCTATAGCGCCGCCAGACCTGGTGCTCCAGGGCAGCGCTGTCAGGGGGTGGGGAGCAGGGGGGGCTCCGGGGGGGGGGGGGGATGGCAGGGGGCGGTCAAGGGGCCTGGGCCCTGCTGCTGGGGACAGGGGCAGAGCAAGCCAGGGCCCCCCTCCGCCCCCAGCGTGCTTGGCCCCTGTCCCCAGCAGCCAAGCCCAGACGGGGAGCAAGCCCTGCCCGACTGCCAGGGAGAGCAGCCAAACGAGCAGGGGAAATGCACAGGGAAAGGACTGAGCCCCCCTTTCCCCCACCCCACAGGCAATGTGGGGCGGGGAGAGCAGGGTGGGGACTGGTGTCCTGGGGGGGCAGAGAGCAGGGGTGTTTGGATAGGATTTGGGAGTCAAGGGGGGCAGTCAGGGGTGGGGAGCATGGGGGGGTTAAGATGAGGGTGGGGGTTCTGGGGGGCTGGATAGGGGGCCAGGCCTCACTGTTTGGGAAGGCATTGTCTCCCCCAGCCTTCCCTTCATACAATTTCTGTAGCTGATGTGGCCCTAGGGCCAGAAAGTTTGCCCACCCCTACACTAAGTCTACCTGTTCTGCTAGCATGGGCCCCCTTTCAATCATAGAATATCAGAGTTGGAAGGGACCTCAGGAGGTCATCTAGTCCAACCCCCTACTCAAAGGGGGACTAATCCCCAGACAGATTTTTACCCCAGTTCCCTAAATGCCTCCCTCAAGGATTGAACTCACAACCCTGGGTTTAGCAGGCCAATGCTCAAACCATTGAGCTATCCCTCCCCCCTTTAACTTGTCTTGCTGAGCCAGCCTCTTAAAACCTCCTCTAACACACACACAGGCAGGGACACACCCAGCTGCAGCTCAGCTCTGGGAAGACTCAGCTTCGGGGACTTGCTCCAGCACTCAGATGTCCACCTCCCATGGAGTGCAGACCCAAAGATATATTATGAAATTCATCCCCTCCCTCAATGTGGAGAGAGGTGTGCACACTTCTCCCCCCACCCCCGTTAGAAATGACAGAAATGGCGTTTAATAATAAACCAAATTTTATTAACTATAAAAGGCAGATTTTAAGTGGTAAAAGGGGTAACAAACAGAACAAAGCAGATTACTAAGCAAATGAAACCAAACACACAAACTAAGCTAGTTTCACTAAAGGAATTGGTTACAAATAGTATTTCTCACCCTAGATATTGTTGCAGGCAGTTTGCAAAGTTTCTGTGGTTCAGAGTTCCAGTTATATTCCTTTTCAGACTGGACCCCGTCTCGGTCTGGACTCCCCCCTTGCCTTCCCTTTTGCAGTCTTTCTTCTTGGGCAGACAGGCCATGGAGAGGAGGAGTCCTGTTTGCCTTCCTCCCCACCCTTAAATAGGATTTACATAAGGTGGGAATCCTTTGTTTCCCAAACTTGACCCCCCCTTCCCTTATAGTGGAAAGTTACCAGAAGTTCCAGGTAATGTTTTAGTATCAGGTGACAAGACCACCTGACTGTAGGATCACAGCGTCCATGAGTCAGTGGCAGTATGGAGCATCCGCAGGATGACGAAGCTTTTCACAGTCCATTGTCCTCGCTGATGGGCCATCTGCCCTGTCTGACTTTTCCATTGTTGTACCTGAAGTGTTAGCAGTGGGCGTCACCCACAGTTGAAATACAAGTATATAGTCGATATTCCAAACTTCAGATCCAGAAATGATACAGGCATACAAATTGGATAATTGCATTCAGTAAATCAGAACCTTTCCAATGATATCTCACATGAGCCATCTTGCATAAAGTATATCTCAGTTATGTCATAGCATAAGCATATTTTCATAAAGAATATGGAATGACACGTCACAGGAGGTGCCTGAGCACATTGCATCAGAGTGCCTAGCCAAGGTCCAGCCACCCAGGGTCAGGAAATGCCAGAACCCAGCCCCAGTAGGGGAGCTAGGTTTGAGTCAGTGCTCCGCTATTCCCCACGGTGAATTGTGCTGCTGCCTATCTGCCTGAATCTTGGCATTCCCTAACCAGCATGCCACCCCGCTGCATCTGCCTCTTCAACTTCAGCATGTGCCATGCCAGACATCCACCTACGAGCCTTGGTCAGCTTGGACACTTCTGGCAATTTTATGGACCAGAACTTTAAGGAGCCTCGAATTCGCATCCTCTGCAAGGTCTTCCCTGAGCTTGTTGAGGTTATAGATGGGTCATTCCTATCTTCAGGCCCCGTCATGCATCAAACAACCCACCTGGAGGGCGTCAGCATTGGCAGTCACTGAGAGATCTTGCAGTTCAGGGTCATCTGTGCTTTGCATTCACCGGTCGTCCTTGGTGTCCCCTGGCTCATTGCCCATCAGCCCCAAATTAGCTGGGGCTTGCGATCTATACTTTTCTATTCCCTGCAGAGCCGATGAGCATGCTTTCCCAACTCTAGTGAATGGCTGGTCGCATTCTGTGGCATGCTCCAGCCCCCGAAGCACCCAGAACTGCCAACCAAAGTTTCATTGGCAGTGCCCGGAATTCCTGCCGAGTACGTAGAATATGCCACGGTATTTGACAAACAGAAGGCAGACACTCTATTTCCACAGCACAGTGATGATTGCACAATTGACCTTCAACCAGGAACAGGAGTTCCTTTTGGGTGCATTTACACCTTATCTGTACCCAAACTGCAGGCCCTCCAGGAGTACCTTGAGGAAAATTTGCAGAAGAGGTTCATGGTCCCTTGACTTCCCGAGTGGCAGCACATGTCTTCTTCGTGGCCAAGAAGGATGGCTCCCTCCCTTATATTGATTATTGAACCTTTAACGAGATCACAGTCTGCGACTGATGCCCCTTTTCATGAAAGACTCCGGGTCAGGTCTTCACAAAGCTAGACTGGCGTGGAGCATACAACCTGTCAGAATCCAGCAAGGGAATGTGTGATGCTGACGGACCAGGGGCCAAGGCCCTTAGATCTCAACTGACCACTGGCAAATATGTAGCTGGAACCAGCCTGGCTCACCCATGTGCTAATATTGTTAAAGTAGGTATTAGAGTTTTAAAAATGTGTTGTTGCATGCGCTAATCTAATATCTGTATCCTATGTTACAAGGTAACAAATACAACAAGGAGTCTGGTGGCACCTTAAAGACTAACAGATTTATTTGGGCATAAGAAGTGAGGTTTATTACCCACGAAATCTTATGCCCAAATAAATCTGTTAGTCTTTAAGGTGCCACAGGACTCCTTGTTGTTTTTGTGGATACAGACTAACACGGCTACCCCCTGATACTTGACACCATGTAAGGTAACAAATGTTTGCTCTGTAACTTTAACTCACCAGACAGAGGAGAAGCATTACCAAGTGTGAAATACTAGCTTGCCACAGGAGGTGTTCTCTTTTGCCCAACAAAAGAAGTCCCATCAACACCAGATGAACTGTTGTGGAACATCCGAGGACAAAAGACTTTGTTGATTGCCCCCCCTTACCCCTCCCACTTGAAGAAGAGACAGGCAGCTGAATTTGCAACTCGGCAGAAAGAGGAAAGGAATAAAAAGCCCTAACAAGGAGGAACTGTATCCTCTGCTTGGAGTCTGAGGAGCGGGACTTACTAAGCATAAGCAAAAGATCCCCAGTGGTTGGCCTGGATTAGCCCTAAGGGCACAGAGCTTGCTTATTATAGAAGCTTCAGTTACCTTTTGAAACTTAAAAGGGGAACACGTTTGTGTGTACATTTACCTGCTTTAACCTTCTAAATAACTCTATTTCCTTTGCCTAGTTAATAAATCTTTAGATACTTTATTTTAGGATTGGTAAGACCCTTCGTTTTCAGTTTAAACTGATTTTTATTGAAAAATTCTCAGGTTTTAAAAATAGGATTATTCCGTTTTTTTCTGATTTTCACTCTACTTTTGTATCATTCAAATATATAAAAAATAACTAGTTTGATTAGGAAAATACAATACATTCCATGAGCTATATGTATTACGCTAATACACTAGTCTGTGTGTATATGCAAGGCTGCCTGTTGAAGTAAGGCTGTGTATTGGTCTAGAAGATACAATAAACAAAGAGGCGCACACGCAAGCTCTGAAGTGCGTTTGCATCTTAATGTACAGATGAATCTCACGCACACCTCGTACACGTGTCAAGCTGTTAGAGAACGGCTTAAAGATCTGCCACACTAAAATGGGAAGAAAACAAAAATCTGTATCAGAATACATGTCAGAACACAAGGAAGTATTCGAAAGTTTTTAAAAAAAGAAAGGAGAAAAGGATGAAGTTGAGTGTATGTGCTGCCAATTGTGTGGCCCAATTATTAAACGGTAATATTTAAAGACTAATAGTTCTAAATCTACAGCAGTAAACTTTATTCAAATAAAAAGTTTTATTTGGGGATTAGAGATATACACCTCTACCTCAATATAATGCGACCCGATATCACACGAATTTGGATACAACGCGGTAAAGCAGCGCTCCGGGGGGAGGGGCTGCGCACTCCGGTGGATCAAAGCAAGTTCGATATAACGCGGTTTCATCTATAATGTGGTAAGATTTTTTGGCTCCAGGGGACAGCGTTATATTGAGTTAGAGGTGTATTGTTTTCTTAAACTCAGAGGTGGCATTGTGTTTTGAATTCTATTTTAGTTCTGCAGCAAACCACACTGCTGAATGGAATTCAAAGCATTAATCTGAGGAATACTTTCCCCCCCTGTCTTTCTGTCCACCAAAATAAACCCTGATATTTACCCAGAAATATTAATATTTTTTTGCACTGATTTTCACCTGTTTTTGTTGTGGTGGTAATAAACATTGATAAATCCTCAGGAAAAAATAAATAAAATAAAAACTGAAAATGAAGGGCCCCAAGGATTGGCTACAAGCGTTGTCTTTGGTGTGGGATCTAAAGTGCTGTTGAGCTGGGGTAAGTGACTGTCCTTTGGGACTGGGAGTAACTTGAACACCGTTGTGATTTTGTGTGTAAAGGACCATCTATCACAAAGGCAATCTTACCTAGGTGGCAAGATAGAGCAGAACACCCACGTTAAGGCTGTTAATAGTGCCTGAGACATTCACACTTGATACTGGGTTGGTAAAATCTAAGCCTAGAACTCCCAGCCAGTTTGGGGTTTGTGCCCTGCCTCTTAACAGGCTGCCTTTAGGTTGGTACTCATGCTGCTCACCCACTGCTGGACGACAGGATGAATGACATTTTGAACCAGCTATGGCCATTTTGACTATTTGGTCATGTCATTTGGTCCCACTACCTTCCAGCTTTTCATGAATGATGTTTTCAGAGACAGCCTCAACCAACTCATGATCATCTACTTAGATGATAGTCTCACTTTTTCAGAGAATCAAGAATTCCATGACCACCCAGTGCACACACTGTTTTTGAGTGGCTTTGCCAAAGTCAACTTTATGCGAAACGTGAAAAATGCAAATCCCTGCACCTTTTTCTCTCTGAAACTGGTTCCCACTGAGAGAAACTATGATGTGGGACAAAGAACTGCTGGCCGTCTGAGCTGCCTTTGAGGAATGGAGGCACCTCCTCAAGGAGGCCTACAGCTCTGGCCAAGTCTGAACCGATCAAAAGAAGTTGGCGAAATGCAACAACTCAACCGTCAGAATGGCTGGGCTCTTTTTCTCTCCCAATTTGACTTCATTGTTACGTACTGTCCGGGGACTAAGAATGGGATGGCAATGCCTTGCCACACAAGGATGAGTAGCATGAAATGGAGCAGGAAGCTTTCACCACTGTCATTAAACCCTCCCACGTTTGTGTGCGGGAGCCGCACGTTCACTTGATGACCACTTGCCATCCCTTGCTTCCAAGTGACCTGTTTGCGGCCTCAATCTGCCAAAATCCCCAGATTCAAAGTTTCATCTACAACACAACCCCCTTTATTGTGGGGATTGTCTCTACATGCCTGAGGGCAGCTCCTGGCTTCAGGTGCTAGAGTTGTGCCATGACTCGCCCATGGCTGGACATTTCAGCCCATTTAAAATCTGGACCCTGATCGCTAGGTACTTCTGCTGGCTGATCTTATGAACGGATGTTAAAAACAACGCTGGGTCATGCAACCTGTGTGCCCATAGGAAGAATCTATGAGCCGAATCAAGCCCATGGGCTTCCCTCAGCCCCTCCCCACACCTCCTTGTCCTTGCTCTACCCTCTCAATGGACTTTATTGTTGAGTTACCGTGCTTCCAAGGGCACTCAGTTATCCTGACCATAGTGGACCTCCTGACCAAGCTGCCTCATTTTATTCCCGCCCGCACTGTGCCAGCTTTGATTTGCTCTGACCACTGGCTTGTCTCGTGATCACTTCTGCCCTCTGATTCTGCTCTGCCCACTAGGTTGCACTGCCTAGACCCCAGTGTGTGACGGGGGGCTCTGATGCCAGCAGAGTGTGCTGTGCTTGGGTTGTGGGGGGCTCTGATGCCAGCGGGGAGAGGTGAGGTTAAGGGGCCATTGATGCTGGCGGGGGCTGCTCTGACACCAGTGGGGTGCTACTATGCTTGGGCTGGAGGGTTTTCTGATGCCATAAGGGGGTTCTCTGCTCAGGCTGGGGGGGTCCTCTGATGCCAATGGGGGGGAGGGGAGGTCAGGATGCTATTGATGCTGGTGAGATCTGCTCTGACACCGGGGCGGGGGGGGGGGGGCTACTGTGCTCGGGTAGGGGTGAGGGCTGTGATGCCAGAAGGGGGTGCTGTGGTGAGGTTGGTTGGGGGGTCTCTGATGTCAGTGGGAGGTGCTGTGCTCTGGGCGGGGGCTGTGATGCCAGTGGGACATCTCTGATCCATCACCCCCTGTGATTCTCTCAGACCCAGTGCCCCTGGGGGTCCATGCTGCTCAGACACCACAGCACCCTCCACCCATGCCAGCCCCTCCCCCAAAAGGCCCAGGGCCGACAGGCAAGGCATGAGCCTCATCCACTAAAGGATGCCCCTGCTGGGTGTCCGAGCCCAGAAGGACAGACGGGGTGGACAGGCCTTGACTAGCTCCCTTCCCCAATAACAGACTCTCTCCATCTTCTATAAAAACATCTTTATTTATAATACAAAACCCGCGTGCGCTGGTGCTGGTGCCACAGTGTTGGGGCCCCCGGGCCGGGCCCCGTGGCAGCGATGAGGGGGCAAGGATGGGCAGTCCCCAGGGATCACCAAGGCATGGCGACCCACAGAACCAAATGGCCCAGAGCAGACATGAAGGAGTGCGGAAGAAGGCCCAAGGGAGGGATGCGGGAGCAGGGAAATGAACAGCAGAGTCCCAGGCCCAGCTCTGGACCCTCTCACCCCAGGCCTGAGGGCGGAAGCTCCCACCTTCTCATCCCCCACTCTGAGCCCCAGGCCCAGGGGGCAAGCTCCAACCTTCCCACCCCAGGCCAGGGGTCCAGTTCTGACACTCCCTCCTCCCCAACTCCTCATTCCAAGCCCCAGGCCAGGAGCTGGACTCTGATCCTCCTCCCCCCACACACTGCGGGGCCAGGGGGCCTGGCTCTGACCCTCTCTGCCCCCCACCCCACCCTGAGCCCCAGTCCAGTGGGGTCTGTGGTGACCCTCTAGCCCCAGGCCAGGGGGGCCAGCTCCTACCTTCTCTCCCCCAACTCCACCCTGAGCCTCAGGCTGGGGTGGCTTCCCTGATCCCATTGCCCTCCCACCCAGAGCCCCACATGGGGAGGGGGCCAGCTTTGAGTCTGTTCTCGTGCCCATGCTGGGGGGGGGGAGGCAACTCTGATCTTCCCCCCTCCACCCCAGAGCCCCATGCCAAGGGGGGCTGGCTTTGATCCTCATCACCAAGAGTGGGAGGGAAGCTCTTTGATGCTAATGCCCCCCACCCCACACCAGGGGGCCAGCTTTGATTCTCTTGGCCTCTCCCGTCACAACCCCACACCAGGGGCAGGGGTGAGTGTGCACTCAGCTCCCTCACCCCACCAGTTCCCCTCAGCGCCATACCAAAGGAACTGTCTCCTTGCTCCCCATCTCACAGGGCAGGCTCTAGCTAATGGGGGAGACACTCCTACTCCCCCTGATTGGGGGAGTCAAGCTCCCAGGTGTCTGTGCCCCACAGTGCTAGCAGGGGGTCGGTGCCTGCAGGCTCTGAGCCCAGCAGGATGCCCACCCCGGGGCTGGCCTCACAGGTCATGCCTGGTGCTGGGGGTGGGGCGAGGGCCCCGGATCCCCTGCTCCCGAAAGGCGATCGTTGTGCAGGGGAGTTCTCGTGCTGGGATGGGCAATGTGGCAGCGTGATCAGGGAGGGGGAGGCCATGCTGCTGGGGGTGCGGCTGCAAGCCCCCCCCCCTCAGTCCCAGCCGTTGTCCTTCACCATGTGCGACATCTCAATGATGAACTTCCCCTCCTTGTACTTCTGGCTGGTCTCGAAGGCCTGTTCCTGGGGGAGGGGAGAGAGAGCGGAGCGTCTGAGCCAGCCCCCTTCTCTAGGACATGCTGTTCTCCCCAGCAGGGGGCACTGTGACCCCAGGGAGGGGGAAGCCTGCGCTGCCCTCCTCAGCTGGGGGCATTGTGACACCAGGGAGGGGGCACAGTCTGTACTGCCCAGTCCCGCTTCCCCAGCAGGGGGTGCTGTGACATGGGGGGGACTCCTGCAGGGCTGGGGCAGTACTCACATATTTCCACCCCAGGGTGGTCTTGCAGCTCTCACAGAAAATGTCGGCCACAGAGTGAAGCCCAGTGAGCAGGAGGCGCTGTTCAGCCGGCCCGCAGCCAACGTTAACCCTGGCACCAGAAAGAGGAGCAGCGTGGGACAGGGTCACAGACTGACTTCCACCCCCAAATCCCGAGAG